GAAAAACCGATCGCATCCTCGTCGTGGAATCGATCAATCCCGTCCCTCATCGATCTCCCTCCTTCGAGAAGAGAAAAGAGTAAGAACTTCGTCTTCGAAATCTTCGTGACGCGCTCGCTCGTGCACTTCGTGCGAATTCCGCTACAGTTTTATTTTTGGGGGGGTGTTTATACCGTGCTTCGAGGATTTTAATAATAGGCGGCGGCGGCGGCGATTCTACGGGCGGAGTCGAGTCGAGAAATAGTTGCACGCCGTTCGTAAATCTCGCTCGAAAATAGTAGTTGCGCGACGCACCATCTCGACTCTTATCAAACATCAAATACGCGATCCAGATAAGGAGACAACGACGCGGGGTTCCAAACGCGGTGTTTGGAAAAAATTTTTTTTCGCTCCTTAAACTTAGACGGCTAGACTTCTCCTTTTCTCTCTCTCTCTCTCTTTCCCTTCTTGAGGTTCTTGCGGAAAGAAGGAACAAGACTTGTCCCCGCGTTGTCGGAACAAAAGTAGGACCGGACGTATAAAAATTCTTTTTACGAGCGACGCCTATTGTTCCCCGCGAGGCGAGGATACGCGAGGAAAGTCGATCCACGAGCCTCGAGTCTCTCGAGGCGAGAATCCCGTCCCTGGGAGGACGGAAAACAAGCAGAGATTTCGATGGAGCGCAACAGCGAATAACGGGAGGGCGTGCGCAAAACTTTTGCGAAAAAACGGAAATAGAATTTGCCGCGATTCGATGCGAAAAAAACACTTCCACCGAATTCTATTTCCGTCCTTTCCCGGGAGGAAACGATGGTTCGTCTATCAATCGCCTACCCCTCCATCCTTCCACACCCCGAAACGCCTATCTACTAGCCAAATATTTTTCGAGCAACGTCGAAACGCGAAATACGGCAAATAATAACCGGAGGAGGTTATGGGGGCCGAGAAAGAGAGAGAGAAGAACGAGTGCGGAGGAGAAGGGGGAGAAAAGGGGAAGGCAAGAAAAGAAAAGAGAGTGCTCCGTTCGAGCAACTCTCGAGACGGAGGGAAGAGAAATTAGGACACTTAGGTCGTAAGCAGCCGATTAAGGTCTAAGGCGATTGGAAGAGTCGCGGCTCGAGGCAACAACGTGGTGGAGAGGTAGCGGCTCGTAGTAGTAGTAGTAGTAGTAGTAGTAGTAGTAGTAGCAGTAGTAGTTGTAGTAGTGGTGGNCAACGCACCCAGTCAGCCTTGGCATGAATTGAGTCTAGCAATGCGAAAGTAAGGTTAGCAGGCGCATTAGCGCCGCGTCCAGCTAGTTCTCCCCGCTTGCAGCCAAGTGCATCTCGGCGGAGGAAGAGGGAGGAAGGGGGAGCGAGTGAGAGAGAGAAAGAGAGAGAGAGAGGCGGCCCATCCGCTTATTTTATACCGTGGCAGGATT